ATGAGCGTCTTTAACGCCTTCGTGCTGATACTAAATTGCCAAGATGGCAGCCGAAGACCATGGCAGTCAATACGCCATCCTAACGCCGGAATGACGCGCGGGGCATTCTAGAGTCTCATAGTACCCATCTTAAGGCCCGTTCACACTAGGGGCAACACACGAGGGTCAAGTGCCTCAAAGCGCATGCAGAGGCGCTTTGCAGCCTCTGCATGCGCTTCTTGACCGATTGACGAGCTAGCGATTGACAGGGGCCATGCCTCATGAAACGCAAGCGCGGCACTTAGTAGATAGCTATTAAAGAATTGATATCACTTGTGTGCTTAAATCGCAAATTAACTAAGAATTTAAATTGAATTAGAAATTTAAATCAAATTAAAAATCTAAATTAATTAATTAAAGAAATTCAATTCGTTCTATGGTTTCAATGTATTAATTTATGATTCTAGATTCTACGAACTGACTATGGAGCTGGTCTCCGAAACGTTTTCTATAATGATATGAATTTTTGTGGACTATTCTTTTTTTAAATTCTTAGTTAGTAGATAGATGTCTGTGGTCTAGTAAGGTTGATTGTGTACGCTGGTCCGGCACTCCAAATGTCGACTAACCACTCTCGTTTGAAGTCACTCTCTAGTAGAGAGCCTAATTGATCTTTATAGAGAACACGAATGTCTATGAAGTGTTCGGTCAAAGGAGTACAAAAATCGAAATACAAATGATGTAAGTTATTTTTACATGACGTGTTTAGTTTATGTGATTTTAGCAACTCCTGACAATTTATGCATTACCGTTTAGCGATTTTAAAGGATGATGTAATATCTGTACGAATATTGGAGCTTTTTATTTAAGAATAGACTATATTTTTTATAAACTGTATCTTTTTGGATGTGCTACTTCTCTAATTATGATGCATATGCTAAGTTCTCGTTTACAACTGGCATAGTGCGAAGAATGACGGACCGCAGCGTACCCGAGAATAATGGCCCACAGCTCAAATTCGGTTACATCCATCCTCATTGACGTCTAGGAGGTAACTAGTGTTCAAAGCGCGCGGTCCCAAACTACCGAGTAAAAAAGTAGTGTGAACGGTTGTGCGCGGTGAGGCACTGCAGCAAACTACTCAAAGCGCATGTCGTTGCCACTAGTGTAAACGGGCCTTTATGAGTGTAACAAGTGCCGCTCTAGTGCGTGCGGTTGTCGTGTATTGTGACCATATCTGGATATCATTCAAGTACAATTTGATGAATATAGTTTTGTTCCCATAATAAATTCAAATCAAATAAAACCTTTACATTATGATACATGAAAACTTTTAACACGAAAAAAATAACATGATTACCAGCAGTGGCAATTTAAGTGAAATCAAGCAAGTGCGGCTTACCAAAGAAGAGAATAAACTCACTCAGTAGGTGGTAAACTCACTACACAAGGTTAAATCTATAACGAAATCAAAATAATGATTAAAAATCAGAAAAAAACATGAATAACAATTTGGATTTTGTTTAAAAAGTTTAAAACCGAGTAGTATCTTTCATGCGATAAGCGTCAAACATATTACTTTCCAATTACGGTCATGTGAACTTCAGTAGGCTGGAAAATATGTAGAACCTCCAATTTAATTTCATGACCAAATGAAATTTGTTTGAAATGAAAAACAGTAAACCAAAAAAAATTCTTCAAGTTTTCTAAAGTGGGAAGACCTGTCGCATGACGCAATGATACGCATCGATATCAATAGGCAAGAACAAACAGAAAATAATTCTATCGAAATCAAATGGTTTGGATTCGAGTATTTCTCGTACCAGGGGAATCACAACCCCAGCAGCTTTGTCGTTTGGGAAGCCATAGACTCCCGTGCCTATGCAGGGAAAAGCAATGGATCTCAGCTTATGTTCGCGTGCCAGATTGAGGGAGCTCCGATAGGCATTTTCCAGGTCCGTCCTGTCTCCGTTTACGGGGCCAACAGTGTGAATAACTGTTCTAGCAGGTAGCTGGTATCCATGAGTGATTTTAGCGTCACCTGTACGACATCCACCCAGGGTCATACATTCCTCCCGGAGGCTTGGTCCAGCAGCTCTATGGATTGCACCGTCCACTCCTCCCCCGACGAGCAGGGACGAGTTAGCTGCATTTACAATGCAGTCAATCTTTAGGGCCGTGATGTCTCCGATGAACAAAGAAACTTTCGTGTTCAGACTTGCGTCCACAGCAAACTTCTTAGGAAATTTAGGAATGCGCGGTCTTTTTTTCAGTGACTTTTCCAGATCAAGTGACTTTTGAAAAGCATAATCTGACCATGAAAGGATATGATCCAAGGTAAAATAAGCTTTGCGCGAGTTAGCTTCAGAAAAAGCTACACTTGATTCATGTTGGGTAGTAAGAGAGGCATATCTGTCCACATGGAGAGGTGGGGCAGAAATTGACATTTCTCCTGCAAATATTTCCTTATTTACAGGTTGAGTCTGCAATTTGGTTCCACCTGCTTGAACAGTTGTTTCAGGAAGGTTGTCGCGAGCCGGAAGCATATATTCGTCGGCCAAACTTCCTAATTGTACAAGAGAAATTTTGTCTTGTTGTTCTGCAACAAGTTGTGCTATCTGAATTGGCAGGGATTGAATAAATATTGATTTTACAAATCCGTCGCCGATTGAGCATAATTCCTGTAAGTAGGTAGATGGTCTCCCAGCCATGGGTGTAGTGCTAGTACGTGACGCAAATAGTTCTGGATTCGTTTTCTCGTAGTAATCTATTACTGCTGGTTTCAGTGAACTATATTTGCATTCACGTAATAATTCACTTGGTAACTTATATTTCAAGTCGCGTCGGAGAGCTGAAATAACGTAGTTGAACTTGGCGTCGTCTGCGGTGATGCCGTATAGCTGGAAGTGGCATTCCAAGACGAAGAACCAGAAACTTGGAGCAGCGGCCATGAACTTTGGCATCTTCTTCACTAGTTTGGTTTGTGATGAATCTTCTTCCATCATATTGATGTAACTGACGTTGGTCGCCCTCTTCACCCTAAACCTCTATCTGTGGTCACCAGCGTAAAGTGGCGCTGCTGGCCAGATTTTCAAGAACCTTAATTATAGGTTATGGAGAGGGTGATTAACGCACAACTTTATTACATGCATCCAGGATCCGGAGGTCAACTGATCTAAGAACAAATTTTGAAGTGAAACTTGGGTTTGAATGAATGCTTACCTACTCTCTTATTGGGAGCCCTAAGAAATCGGGAATTTACAGAAAAGACCAAATGCTACAGCCTCAGTTTCATAGATAGTATTAAATGAGTGAAAAAGTCATTGCGTCTTGCAGTTCTCAACTCCTGTAGAAAAATGTATTATATAAATATACGGCTAAAGAGAAATTTACGTGTTGGAAAGAGGCCAGAAAAAAACATATATAGCTGCTGAGGAACAGTGAATCTAGAGATATAAAAGTACAGTTGTAAAATCTTATTTATAAAAAGTTTGTAATCATTGCTAAATGGAAAAATGGTCTGCAAACAAATTTCATCTTCCAATGTGAATATGGAAAGCATCATTTGTGCATGTAATTTTTGCACAATTAAGTCAGCCAAAGACAGTCCTACCATGTTATCTACAATGAAGAGGTCTGTCAGTTATGTTTGTGTTTTCCGCATATTCTTCTTAAATAGTCCAAAATTTCGGCATTCAAAAACATTACTTCAGAATTCAAACAGAAAAATAATGGACGTAGTTGTAAATTCTAATCAAAGTCAAGGAGTAGCATAGCATTTGTGTTTTGTAAACAAGAACACTAAATATTGTTAGCAAGAATTTTGTTCTAGGTTTGAGTATTGGGCATGACACAAAAATAACCCCAATAAGACAGATATGTTATTATTTTGCCAATGAGCATACATACCATATAAATTCAAACACTGCTCTTAAAATTAGGGCAAGTACAATATGCCTCAAATCAATTCCAAGTCAAGATGTTTCAATAAAATCAGATGACGAGAGGACTTTCTCTGCACAAAATAAAATAAGGCAATTTCAACATCATAACCTCTCCTGAGTCTGCTCATGTGTTCCAAAAAGCGCAATCTTAGGTGCAGAGGAAAATCGATTTTATTGATCTTCGTTCTATTTTGCTCACTATCTTGTTTACCCAAAAACTCAAACAAATAGTCTAGAATTTGTGCAGAAGAAATCTTTCTAGTCTCATCACCAAAATATACTGAAGCTGCCTTCTTCCCCCCCCCCCTATGTCTCTCTTTCTCTCTGCAGGCAGCCTGGTTAAATAAAGAGCCAGGTTCATTTTCATTGAGATTTTTATCTAAATTCAGGGCCTCTAATTCATTCTTTGAGAGACGAGTGAGGCGCACAAGCAAAATTACATTGAATTTTATTATTTATTCTGCGTTATGAAATTCATCACATAGAAGCTGTAATTTTTAGAGAAGAATTATTATGTTGTCAAGATAATAATATTAAAGCGTATTATTAGTGATTTATTTTCCTCCGACAACTTTTGCAGTGCAGCACTAAAAGTTTCGGCTTTACTTTTTATCGGTCAACCAAGTCACCGATTTACGAGGTCTTAAAGTCCCTCTATTAATAACTTGATGCACACCATGAAGAATCAGTGCAGATTAAATTGTTCTCAGTCAAGCGTAAATTGTTGATCATACGCAGTACTTAGTTTATGAGTTCGTGCTCGAAGTTGCATTTGGGAGTGAGTTTTGTACGAACACAGTGGAACATTCATTAACAAGAGTGCAGATCAAGTTGATCAGCCATTAGATGGTCAGAAAGTTTTTAGAAAAAAAATTGGACTAAATGCAGTAACATAGCTTCTTACAGGGGCATAACCTGCTTCAAAGGACAAAGCCTCCCAAGATTTATTATTATATATGAGTTAAATATTGATATTTGTATGAATATTAATTTGCACTATATTCATGCCTCATTATATTGAATTTATCAGTATTTGTATGAAAAATTATAAAAATTAAAATCAATTATATAAAATTACCAAAGGGGCCGTAAAAATATTTTGGAGGAGCCTGAATCCGCCCAGAAATAGTCCTAATGGAGCGACTACCTTCACATTATAATTATATTTCATATAAGAAATTAAATCGCACCCGAAGCAGCCCAGCTCATTCAAAAGAAAGAAATAATGCCACACCCTAAACAAAAAACACTGTCCTTATTAAATGAATGTCGCTAAATAATTCAAACAAAATTTAAGCTAAGACAAAAATTGTTCAATTCATGATTCAAGCAAGTTTCAAACAACGGAGCTTCTGACCAACACCTGGCGCACCTGGCGCTACCATCCTGCTCAGTGTCTAGCCTACTACTGAGCCAGCTGAAGGCTGCTGTCAGAGCTGAGCTGTTCGGCTGCAGCATTCACCAATCACCACGGCTGCAGCGTTTCGAGCCACACCAGCCACTCGGCTGCAGCGTTCGATGCACAGCGTTTGACCGTGGGATGATTCGCAGCACAGGCGAAACGGACGGGTTGATTAGGGTCCTCATAATCACTGCAAGGCTCCAGGGCACTCCGTCCGGGCGGTGTAAAATTTTTTCGCGTATTGGCAGACGATGCTGGGCCATACTACGTCAGGCTACTTTCCAGTGGGCTCATTGATCTAATATTCTAATTCAATGGATGGGATCTGTCTGGTGGCTTGAGACTGATGATTAATAGTCCAGAAGTTTTGGGGGCTACGTTCATGAGGGTGATTAGATAGGAGTTTAATCTCGATGATTGTGTATATTTATAACGATATTGAAGATTTTGGGTTTAATTGTTCGATCATCAATTTTTTAATTCTGTCAGATTGGTTTCCGTAGTGGCTTACTTTAGGCGCGTATGTAAGTCCTCGTATGAATAGATTAGGGAAAAAATCGTACAGAGAGAGGGTTGCAATGAAACGCTGGCACATTTCATATTAAATTGGGAAATTCAAGTTCACATCCCACGTTGACATAAATCTCTAGTACCGGAAACATGAAATCCGTACACAATAAAAGTTGAAAATAATTCAAGCTAAAATAATTCAAGCTTCTAAATTACCAGAAAACGTTGATCCGTCGCAGTTCTGTAGAGTAGTACGACTGACGCAAACCACCGTAATGCCCGCACACGTTTGCAGCCGTATTCCCAGCGGCCGTACCACAGCCGTTGCCGCGAGCCTTCTTTTACAGTAACTCTTTCTTCATAGCCGTATTTTCCGCGCTTACATTGATGCCTCACGGCCGATCTAACCGTAGAATTTATGACGACCGTACTTCTGAATAGTGGTGTTCGTCTTCATCGCCGATGGTGCTACTCCAAGCTCGTTGCCGTACTTCTGCTGTTGGTGATCATGACCGCACTGCTTCTTCTGATGAAAACTGTGACCGTACTGTGCTGATGACCGTAACGATGATAATTGTTGCTCTGTGCTCGAAAACTTTAACCTTCTGATTGCCGGCGTTATAATCGTTGGACGTCAGGTGGCCTCTCACGTTACCTCAAGGGTGAGCCGCTGCCGGAGTGTTGATGTTGACCGTACATAAATGTGTCGAAGTAATTCCTCGTAGATTTTTGACGTTGTTATATCGGAGTCGTAGTGGTATGAATGACTCGACGTTTCGCGCGGCCGTTATTTCGCGATACGTCGCCCAAAGGCCAAAGCACTTGCGGAGATAGCTGCAGACCGTACCGGAGTGACGGTCACCACAGTAGAACAACCTCTGGCGTGAATTTTAGGGCCTTTATATTCGCTGGTGTCGCCCACAGTTGAGCCTATACCCTCGAAGTGATGCCGCATTCCGCGACTGGAATTGCCTTCGCGCTGAGCTCTCCAACGCTCGATGTCAACTAACTCGTTCCCACGGTCTCGAACGATCGTGTCTTGTACTTATATCGCTTTGACCCGCATTCTTAGCATTCTCAACACCTACGCATAATACATCTTTAATATTGCCTATTTTATTCAAGGGAAGGGATCACGATAGTCCATTCGAAGCAAGGTAGTGGTGGTCTCCGACAGGCATTCCTCAGGCAGGCGTCCATGCAGATACCATTTTGCTGAACAAAACTCGGAACCGGACCAGTCCGACGCACTCATAGATGATGGTATTACGGATTTGGTTGTAGCTTTATCCAATGTTAAAAGAAGTGCATTCATGCTGCTTTTTTCCGAATTTATCGGTAGGTATAATTTCATCCCAGAAAACATTCTAAAACAGAATTATCGTCATCGTATCAATGATAACAAATTCTATTTATTTTTTGAAAAATAATAAATAATATATGTTAATTACGAACTAAAATTACGCAAACGACCATTCAAATTTTAAATAGCATCAGCCAGATCTTCATTTAGGAGATTACATATTGATATATTACAAAAGCTAGCGAAAAGTTTCTATGTTTCCCAACATTCGAATTCTATAATCCGGTTATAAAATTAACGGACAATTATAGTTAGTATTTGGGACAAGTGAGAAAATCCTTGCACCTTTGCTTACTTCGAACAAACTTAGAGCATTATTTTCCCAGATATCTGATTTTTTTTACAAAAAATCGCAAAACGATTGCGTATTGCAGTTATAGATAATGTGGAAATACTGATGATGATGCAGAACGTATTTAGCATTATTACGCGATCATTCATCCAACTGTAGATCTTATAGTTACTTGAAGGTTAGCATTTCAGTTTAACTCTCAGTCGCATGAATCATTTGAATTGCTTTAGCGATCTTTCTTCACGAAGGATTTCCAATAAATATATCCACTACAAGACAAATTAGAGATGTTTCCAGAGATTTAATCACCACGTCTACCCGACCCTCTGCCACCTGCAGTTCCGAAATAGGAGGGCTGAAGCGCAACTGTCGTGTGATAAAACTATTTTAGATGCAAGGCAACTTAAATAGGTAAGAGGATTTAAACCTGGCTAATAAACCGAGTTTATGTCAGAAAATATGAGCAGGTAATAACATAAGTACATGGGGTAATG